GCCCAGTAGGGCCGAGCAGAGCGCGCCTCCCACCTCGAGAGCGAAAATGTCCCCCCCTGGCTCGGCCCGAGAGCCGACACCGCGAAATGCACACCCGATGGGGCGGGAGCCCCCAATCAGTTTCAGTTTGGGGTGGGCGCCACGAGAACATTACCAGCCTGGAACATATCCCTATCCCTATGCTGGGCATCGCCCCATCACGATGCCAACAATCTTAGGGGTTCCCTCAGTCTTTGGGGGCGCATCTCTAAGATTGCCATCGCCTTTCGGCGTGTCACTCTTACGGATAGGGATAGGTTCGAGGCTGGCGAGAACAACCAACATCTGCTCAGGGAGACGACCCGCGGCATCAACTACCAGAAGCAGACCTGACACGGCGGCGAGCGCAGCGTCGCCCAAGAGCGGGCGTCGGCGCACGCGGACGCCGTCGACCGACGCCCCGCCCCGCCGCCATGGGCCTTGCAAGTTTGCCCGAAGTCGGCGGGGGAGAGACATGGGAGAGGCTCGACAAGCGAAACACGCCGCATGGGAGGACCAAGACCCGAGCCCCGCCAAGCCTGAAAACGCTTCCCCTCCGCCTGGAGCAGGGCCCTCGGGCCGGACCTGATCCCCCCCCCCCCACCCACGAAGAAGGCAGCCGACGGGGCCCGCGGAGCGGGGTCTCTCAACGCCACGCGAGCGCGATGACCTCCATTATCCAAGCCCTCTCGGAGCCAGTTCCCCCAGGCAACCTCCTCGCACTTGAGACGCAGCCGGTCCACATCGGCCTCGAACAGAGCAGGAGAAGCGGGCCGCGCGTCCAACGCAGCACCCGAACGTTTTTCCCGACCGAGAACCTCGACAACGCAGTCGAGCAAAGCATTGGGACAAAGGAGAAACATCTGTCCCTAGCCGAACAAGAGGACGCCATGCTGGCCGCCATCCTGAAAAGCAAAGGGCGGGCGCCCTTCGCCGCGCGCATGCACGGAGGAGGCCCCGCCAACAGCTCGAGGCAGACATGCGGAATCTTGAAAGTGCCCAGCTCCACCACCAGGGCCCTGCGCTGGGCCCCCCACCACTTCAAACTACGAACCCTGGCGCCCTTCGGAAAATTGTGACACTTACAGATGGGCGCCCAAAACTGCTCCACCACTTTGCCCCTGGACCCAAGCACTGGCGCCTGGGACTGCGGCCAGGCCCAACGCGGCCCCGTCGGCTCACACGGCGCAGTCGCCCGTCGGGAGCGCCGCAGCCCCCCCCCCCACCCACCGTCGAGACATCGCCCACTGCCAAGTTGAACTGGCCCAAACGCGCACCCCAATCATGACTACCTACCAGGGGTTGGGTTGGGTTGGGGTGGTTTGGGTTGGGTGGTGAAATCAATGCTCCACTCGGACGGCCCCCAGGCCCACCAGCGGCAGGCGAGAGCCTCTCGCCGGATGAGCTGCTCGCGAAAAGTGAGCGCGGCGGGCCCGTGGAGGCCGAGCGCAGCGCCCAGCCTGACCACACGGCCCCCTCGAGGCCCTCCGCGGGGGAAGACGACACACCGAAGCAATCGAACCTGGAAGGGGAGCCCTGGGAAGAGCAGCGGGCGCCGTCCGAGGCGGCGACGAGCCGACACCCCGCCGCCTTCTTTACTTAGCGAGACGCATGCCTTCCAAGACTTCCGGGCCACAGTCAGAGTCGCCTCCGACGACGAATTCGGACGGCCTGCTGCTCGCAAACTCCCCTGGGTCGCTAGCAAGGGCCCCCAACTTCGCGCTTCGCGCCGCGCGAAGCGCGAAGCGCGAATGACTTCGCGCCCTCGCGCCGCCTCCCAGGGGAGAAGGGGGGGACGAGGAGGAATCGGAGCCGAACCGCGAACCGCGAAGCGCGAATAACTTCGCGCCCTCGAGGACGCCCTTGGCTAGGGACCTCACCGCTGTCGGCGCTCAGGCCAACGCTGCGGCGCAAGTAGACCGGAGCTCAGAGGCGCCGCGGGCGAGCCGGCGGCGCGCACTCTGCAGGCGAGGCAGCGGCCCCGAGCAGCGGCAGGAGCCCAGCACAGAGCAGAGCCCGCAGCCACGACCGAGCAAAGAGAGCAGCGCCTGCGCCGTCGCCGTCCCCGGGGCCTGGAATACCAGCAGGCCAAATGGATGTCCGCCCTGCTCTCCGCGCAGAAGCTCAAGCTCGATCAATGTGCTCGGCATATCTCACTCTGGTTTCCTGATATACAATGGCATGAGCGGCACAGCTGGCGTCCTCGAGCACCTCCGTCGTAGTGCCCCACTCATTACAGCTGACAGCCCAGACTTGCAGGGTAGCGTCGAGAGCGCCCTCGGCGCCAGCCCCGAGTCCTGGACCCCTTTCCCACGCAGCTGAGTCCTGGACCCCTTTCCCACGCAGCTGGAGAGACGAGATTCGGCCTTACCCCCTCAGGCCATAGAGGAACTTCTCGCGCCTCCAACGGCGAGGAAGCCAACAGAAGGCAATGCACAACTTTCAACCTCCTACGAGTGGCTGGGTCCCAGAACAACCTCGG